AGTTACAATAGCGGTACATTTTCAATAATAACATTTTTCGTTTTGAGGTTTTCATGTTTGTTGGCATTGTGTTGCTGAGCTTCCTTTATACCTGCCTTGGTATACTGAGGTTACTTGTAGAGTGTAACATGTAAATTGGCTTGTTTTAAGGGGGAACAGAACAACATTTTAGGTAATCTAATTCAGGTTTTCTCCACACACTTTCTATCAGCACCATAGAATGATATAATTAACTTGTTAAGTGTTTGACTGCTTGCCCTGCTGTTCCTAATGTCTTACTGTATTTTAGACCTAACTAGATAAACTCTTGTTAAACTTGCTTTTCACGGAGTATATGTTGTCTGCTCCAACTCCAAACCTTGAGCTTCTAATGATCCCATATCGAAATCTCAGTATATTTCACAGGTTACATGTTTATCCCATCCACATATTTATGAACCAAGACGTATAAAGAGCAAAGACTGCTGCTGCAGAATGTATTGTGCCGTGTTACTTCCAATCTTTGGCAACACCAACTCTGTAATTACGTTAACCTAAGCATAATCTTATTGGTCACGTAACTTCAACACTTCCTAGTTATCTGGACCTGCCTCCAGTGCAATATTAAAGGCAAGTAGCAGTGCCAAACACACAAGGTTAAAAATACAGAAAAGCATTGGCACCACCAGGAGGATTTTAGTGTCCTGCGTCTACTCAAGAACAATTGTATATGTTGACTAGATGAGCATAGACTCTCACGAGGCTGGTTAACGGATGAAGAAAGTTGGTTCTGTCCTGAGATGCTCTGTTTGCATCAAGAGTATGTGGGATTGAAAGAGTGATGATCGAGCTATCTTTTAAGTTCAACACCTGCCACCCACTGCGTAGAACCTAAGTGCTTCTGGCAGCTCCTCCGGTGATGCTCCATATAGATTACATGAAAGAGACACCTATACCTGCTGTTTGAAGTCTCTACAGCCACTGCTACCCGCATAGACCACAATAGCACTGATCACCTGGGCCCAAAACTTTGAATCCCTATCTGATCAGATCAGATTTGGATTTTGGGGAGTTCAAAACCAAAAAACAGGATTAGGATCACTTTCATATCCGATCAGATCAGGAAATCCAATCCAAGCTTTAATCTGGATCAAATCTTCAAAATGGGTAGTTCAAACCAACAACACAGGACTGGATTATCCTGATCCCACCAGAGGGGTGGATTTCCAGTGGATTACCAGAGCAAAATGTACTGTACAATTTATTTTTAAAATATGTTTCAATTTAAATAAGATGGCAAAGTTTGTTAACTGAAATAATACACAATTTTTAGCCTTCATGGGAAATACATTTAATTTTTTCCATTTTTGCTCACGTTTGTGGTGGCCTATTTTGTTTTCAACCAAATGTTGATGACATAAATGTTTATGCTCATAAAAGTATCACAGCAAAGATTGTCAATCACAAATGTAATTTAGATTAAAGTAAAAATATCTTCAACAAAAAAAAAGTCCATCATCTGTCATCACCTTTCAAATAAAAAAATATAATTAGACATTATAGATGTCTCTGCAATGTGGTCTCTTGTCTTCCTTNGGAATCCGGTTCACTTCCAGCTCCAAAGAATTGTCGGTCTAGAGGCAAGAGCTTCGGAGCTAAGAGGCGGCGTCGCTTACATCGAGGCGTGCAGGAAACTAAACCCACCATCAGCTATCGGATGGAATCCATACATGGGCTGCATAGGTTGAAAAGTATAAAGTTGGAGAAGTCGTTATTTAATTTAATCTGGCTTTGCTTTAAAAGCAACACGATCATCGACCCGACGCAGTCCCCCGTTGTTGTTGTTGTTGTGAGCGCCGTTGGGGAGCAAATCAGCGTTGTAAACGGTGACGTCATGACGCAGCAGCGACAGCACCATCCCGGCTCTGAGTGGTGTGAAAAAAGCGGGAGCAGAAAAGGGAAACCGGAGCTGAACCAGAAAAGCTCTAACTCGGAGCTAGAAAGGGAAAAGCGCTGGTGTGAAAGTCGCATTTGTGTCACGAGAGAGAAGTTGGCTTCTTTCTCACTGATATAAGGGGGTAAACTTTCTATATACAGTCTATGTGGGTACCAGGAGAGCCTTGAATGCATTGCTTGGGATCTATTACCATCTTTCATTTCCCCATACTAAACAGCCCATGGCATTTCTATATAATGGATGTATCTCAAATATCAGAAAGAGATAAAAGAGAAACATGTTCTTGTTTTTACGCCCAGGTGCTAAAATTGTCTCTCTCCTTCATTAAGAAGAAATGCATTTATAGCCAACTGCTGATAGAGCTACCTAAGGCCAATGAGGTGTAATTAATGTAGAGTAGTACTTGGGCATGTGTTTTTCTCCCCCTGTAGGCCCAGTTCAAAAAGTGAGGTGTCTCCTTACATTACAAATCATGCATATTATTAAGGCAGCTTAAAGCACTGTCACCAACAAAAGGCTACATTTATGAGCCTCTCGATCTTAGCGTAAAGCCTCCAGACACCCAGATGGTCCACAGCCTATATTTCCGATAACAGTATACAGGTTTAAACAGTCAGACCCATGGGGCTGGCAGTTGTTGTTGAGACTGAACTGTATTCTGGATTTACCATTGTTTAAGAAAGATTGAATTGGCTATTACGTGATATTAGAGCTCATTCCCAAGCGTGTGTAAATACTGTATGTGGTAAAGACCTTTCACCATTCAAAGTAAATGAAGTGCCAGTTAAACGTCTCTGCTAACGCACTCCTGTCTGGTTTAGCTGTGTCCTGGTTATATAATACAAAGTAAATGAGAAAATGAAATTATTCCAGAGATGTATGTAAATAGCGCTTCATGGTCCATTTCCCTGCGATAGAGTCAACACAGCAGCCCAGGAAGGATGACAGGCATGCATCTTGTAAGGCCTCGTAAGGTTCATTGACATTCTTGATGGTAAATGACCTAGCTGGAAGACTTTGAGAGGGAGAGAGTATGACATGTAAACCAACTTAGTCGCTCAAATTAATTTTGGAGCAGTGACGGTCGTGTTTCTCGAGGCTATGGGTGAGTGCTAATGTGATTCTGAAAACATGGAAAAATAAAGCTGATATAACATTGCAGGTTCACTGTGAGTGTTGTACAATTGTAGCACTGGGTGTTGCTAACATTTTAATACAAACCTACAGTACAACAATATTATGCTGTAGATAGATACCAAACATGGCCCGGGTTATTATGCATGCCAGGGAAATTTAGCTTGCTGCCTTATTTCAAACACAGTAAGAGGGTGAGTAGCTCCGTACGCCAAGTTCCACAGAAAAACATCTTTAGATTTTTCCCGTAGCATACCATGCTGCTTTGATCTCTTCTTTCTTTTTTCGTGGCAGAGTCGTGCTCCCCTCAGGAGACCAGCTATATTATCCCCCCCAGCCTTAATTCATCAGGAAGTGTTAAGGGATCAGTGTGTCAGCTCGGCTTAAGAGCAGATGACAAACTGAGACTTCTCACTGCCTTGATACAGAGTCTCTTGTTGCTCTGACGTTGTTTTGCGGATTTTGCTATCATATTTTATGCTTTCCAAATGAACGGGTAATTTGACATTTGTTTATACAGTGTGTTGGTTTATTGGATCAGGTTGTTTGTGGCTGCCTTTAATCTTACATGCTCTAATGCAAATCATTTACAGTTGCTTAGATGTATTTTTCCAGCAAAAACTACATTTATTTTGGCAGCAGTGTGTCTTTCCTGAGCACAAATAGAGTCTTACTCACACAGGCAGCCATCCTAATGGTGGCTTTATGTGTTGGCACATTTTCAACTTTTCTTTTCATGGGTGTACTTGAGAGGTCATCATCACATGGGAATAGACCCACTGTTCCTCATAAGACCCATTGTTTCGAACTCATCCATGGGCCTTTTGACAGTTATAGCGCGGTCTATTTGAAGTTGTAGTCACACTATGACAGTTAGTGAGATTTAACGAAGACTGTGCTCCTCTCTAAGGCTCTCTCTGTTTACAATAATAAGAATGTGCCATTCCTGCAGAGGGGTTGTTGCTGCCTCTCCTGTGTCTTTCTGTATGTGTGTTTACTTGTATACATATACATTGTTATACGCACCAACAGCCTATATTTACACGATGTATGTTTGCATGGAGTTTTTAGCACGTTTGAAGATGTATTTCGTTTTTCTAAAGAGAAAAAATGTAGAAAGTTTCCAAATAGTGCAATTTACTTTACATGCAATACACGTTTGCAGAGACATTTCAATGTACAGACATTATTTTGCCATTTAAGAACAGGAATTATTATACTTTTAAGCTGATCCAGGGCGAGTGCATGAAGGAATGAATGAAGACAGATTATATGCCTATTTTGGTTTCCAGGGGGCTTTGCAGCATACATATAGCTACAGTATGACCATTTGTCACTGCATTAAGCTTACCATATTTAGCTTTCTGTGAGACAGATAGACCAGTATCGTAGGTTTTATCATTACAGGCAGCAAACTTAGTTCTGTCTTGGGTCAGAGGTTTTATTTTATAAAGTTCTTTTAACTGTGAAAAAATTGTTTTCTTGTCGACAACTCAACAATCACTTTTAGTAACCTTGTTTGGATACAGAGCACACCTCCGATATATGCTCATTCGCGCTGACTTCCCTCTCGCCATCTCAAGACAAATACATTTCTCAGAGTTGCCTTCAGCTGCAGGGCCGGCCATTGCACAGCTGTTGCAACCAACTGTAGCACTTTAAAACTCTTTCAACTCTATGAATCATTCAGTTTGGCAACATATCTCTAGATTCACTGCAGATGATGAAGTATTTCATCCTCGTATACCGTCATTAATGAAACACTTAGCAGCAGAATGCAGTTTTTCGAGAAAAAGAAAATCTAATTTGCGCAAAATTATGCATTGCTGTCACTGCGGGCAAAATCTAAACTAATGATCATATCATTGTTCTTCTCTCCCCTGCCCAACTTCTGGCTTGTCATGCACTGCTAATATGGACATCCACGCAGGCTCAGGTCAGTGCCGTTCATTCTGTACATATACTCTGCTATAGCTAATGAAGACTAAATGCATGTTGGATGTGTCACATACACTCCTGTGACCCTTTTGGTTGAGAAAAAGAGCATTAGTTTAAAAGAGAGAGTGATACATGGATGTGAAGTGCATTGGGATGATATTTCATCTGCGTATTAACTGGAGAGATTCAGATTGGATTTTCTAAAGAAGGACTTACTATACACAATTATTCCAATAGTAGGATAAAGCTTTTGAGGGTGTGCAGAGCCGTGTAATATCATTTTTGTATTAGCTATCAAAACAAATATTTTAGAAGTGTCTAAAGCCGAGCAAAAGAGCAGAGGATAGAGATTAATCGATATTGCTCATTTAACCAATGAGACATGTTGGTCTGTATTAGCTGATCTGTTATGATAGCCTATTCATCTTCGTAAATGTGTGCGACCTAAGATGTACTTCAGTCTAGAATCCAGTACTTCTGTGTCGGAATGCACAAGCTTTACCCACCGAAAAAACGTTTGACACCTTTTGTGTTATGCCACTATAACCAATGTTGCGAGTGTAATGGTCACATGATTTCTGATTAAACAAATTGTATAGGTGCTCAGTAAAAAGTGTCTGCATTTCAGGGAAGAAACTAGATTATCGTATTGCTTTTTTTGAAAATGCCCTGTCAAGCTGGAATTGTGTTTCTACAGTAGTGGTGTAAAAAGTGCAGAGCAGTTGCCAGTTTACCCAACAGGGGCATCTGCAGGGACAGATGGGAGATGATGAGGGTGTGTAATAGGCATCTGTGTGGCCTCTGGGAGAGGGAATACTCAACGCTCATTCCTTCTCTACAGTCTGCAGCACACACACACACACACACACACACACACACACAGACACACACACAGTTGCACACCCATTACAGCTTGTCATAGCTTTTTCCGCAAATTGTCCTCTAGAGTATACCTTTTACTGTGGCAGACTGTTACATAGATAGAGAGTAAACATGTGTTTACAGGAGCATTGCGCTAGCTGCTCCCTTGGTAACAGAGCCATGCCAGAGTCACAGGTTGAGAGGGAGGAAGAGAATACGCTCTACATCCAGCAAACTGCATCCTCGGCTGAAGGGCCTTACTGCCATGGTCATTTTCCTTTCACACATCGCATACTGTTCCCTCCATATTATACATAGGTTAGTCATAATACATTTGTGTCCTTTCCTGCGGTGCTCATTTGTAAGTTTAGAGCCCCACTGTGGTAAAAGGTGCTCTTTCTTTAGTTCTGGGGTTGAGTAATCCTTTTCATTTCTGATACTCACATTATATTCCAACACTGAATTTAGAAAATATCAGGGTTCTTTTCAAGATACAAAAAGGATTACTGGGTAATTTATACTAAACTAATGTCCACAGGGAAAAAAATTCATTAAGGGCAAGTGTTTGATTTTGAATACAAGAAGAGAATGCTACCATATGTTGTAATTTCAAGAGGCATGTTGACATATGGTTTCAAGAAAAGGGCAAGAAATTAGGCCTTGTTGTTTTTTCTCTTAGTGTTACATTAGGTATTGTGTATTATGAAAGTGAAAGTGTCCCAAATATGTTTTATATTCCCCAAAACGTTCTATAATCCCCCATATGTGTCCTTTTCCTTGTGTGTATGTGTGTGAATTTGTTCATGCGTGGATTTGCATGCACGTCTTCAGGTGTACGAGGCTGTGCCGTGCCACAGTGACTGCGGCCAATATGAGTGGAGGATCGAGCCCTGGTCCATTTGTACCATCAACACTGTGGACGACCTGCCAGCCTGCGGGGAGGGAGTCCAGAGTCGCAAGATCAGGTCAGTGAGCGGGTTAGCTTGGCGCGCTGCTAGCCTGGCACCACAACACACACTGGCAACAGTCCTGTAGCTGGCACTCACACCCGTCCTGACACTTGCAATGCCAGGGGAAAACAAACAGTTGAAACAAACTGCTGCTTACTTATGAGAGTTGTTAGGTTTTCCACAGTGCCTTTTTAGTTCTGTTTAAAATTGCCACAGAGGGAAGCAGTGAAGGTATGTCCTTTTTTCTGCAGGAAACATGTACAAGTGTTGGTTTTGGATTATGCTCCATCAGAGGGTGGGTGTTATTGTGTGAAAAGCAATTTAATTGGTCTTGTTTAGTATAAGCCTACCTTTGAGTGTGAGGTAAATGCCTAGCTGTTGAAAAGGCTTATAAATCTGCATTTTGGTAGACCAACAATCTTGGAGTTAGAAATTGCCTCTTATTTTCCACATTTTTTAAATGTGCATACAGTTTGAAACTTAAACACCTGCCTGTTTTTCAGGTTTGTCACATCTTTTAACAGTACCCTCAGGAGTGAAAATATGCTAAAAGTGTATCTGATTTGTGATGATTTTACCACACACAACATTATTTTCTAAATATCTAATCTGTTTACAGCCTAGGGTCTTGATTCAATGGTAAATATTACAGTCTGTTTTCATGCAATACTTAGTCTTTTGAATACAAAAACAAAGTTGCCATTGATGTAGTGAAAAGAGTACTATCTAAACCCGTTTTATGCAGCAACATATTTGGAGAGACACATTGAAAACAAAATTGTGGAGACTTTAGAAATAAACAACTTGCAAAAACTCAACTGTAGAAACTTATAAATGTGTATGAAAACTCAAAAAAGGACCCAGTTAGGAGTGCCCATGAGACTAGTTATTAAGCTGCATCTGCTGCTCTGCTAGGTGTGTGAGGCAGACTGCAGCGAGTGGGGAGAACAGCACGCTGGAGGACGGTCTGTGTGATCAGGAGGAAACCCCCGATACAGCCCAGGTCTGCTTCCTGGCCTGCCCCAACGACTGTGTCATGGCACCCTGGGGTCCCTGGACCAACTGCCCTGTGGTGAGTTGACTTACTGTTTCCTTGGTTGGTTGATAGGTTGACGTGCAAAGTGGGATCATTTATTGGTATCATTGAAAACATGTCCAGTGTCATCAGCATAAAAGCGAACACAATCTTTTCAGAGAAGTTTTTAGTTTTTTTACACATTTTTAAAAATCCCTGACATTATTGGTGTATTTGAAAAACATAAATATTGTATTTAATATGTTAGTGGGAAGCTATATTTCACATGTTTTTCCATTTTGTCATGTAATTAAATATGTATTATTTAATTATTTTTCTTTGTTAATATTCAGAAAAGTAAGCTAATTGTTTAAGATACGCTAAAACAAAATGTCTGTCTTTCTCACTTTCTAAACCTGTACATATCATTTAAAATGAATGGTTTTTTAGGCTGACTTTTAAGTCATCACATTTCCAATGCCACTGCAATTATTTAGTCTTGCAATAGATTTAGCAATTCAAATGATCAACAGCTGCAGATTAAAACAGTCAAAAAAACAAGAATGTTTCATCAGTCTTCCTAAAAAATGTAAGGTTAAAAACATTTTACTTACACATGATGGAGATGTTTGTAATTGTTGCTAATAAAATTAAATGTTCTTAAGATCTCTTGAGTGCATCCACCAGCTGCTCTGTAACCTTGTGTGGTTTGAAACTGCTCTTTTGGTACTGCTAATGAAATTGAGTGTAATAATGTGCCTCCAATTTTCGATGCCCTCAGTCTTAAACTTAGCACACGTCCCCCTGTGTGTCCAGCCCCAGGCTACTGGTCACCCGGCCACGTAGGCGTGTTATATGTTTCCTGTCAAACACAACAGCTCAGTGGACCGGAACATTGGAGTCAGAGCAAGAGCAGAGTGGGAAAAAGAGATAGAGAGAGAGATTACTTACTTAGTCCGAGTTTTCTCCACAGACATTTTGTTTCATTCAATCTTTTAGTGAGCAAGCTTTGGCAGACATTTTAACATCAGTAAAAATCAGCCATCTAATGAATTTGCTTATAAAATAATGCTTAAACTGTTCACTAGAAAGCTCATTAAACTGTGACAGCCTTATAAAATGTTACTGGTGATTTGTTTCAACAGTTAAATCAACCCAGAAAACATTTAACACACGTAGTGCAATACAGTGTGTAGAGAGGATGACTTCTGAAGTAGGCAGAGCTCATAAACAAGAATTCAGAAATGGTACTGCTTTAACAATCAATTTTAGGACACTAGGAAGCAGTGAAACTCATACCATAAAAAGATGTAAGATAACTTGGGATGTGAGATTTTACACAATGATAATGAAACAATAAAATATATTTTATATTATACTATACCGAGCCCTTTCCCAATAGAACAAAACACATCAAAGTGAAATGATTCTGCTCACAATTGTCTGCATGAATTGAACCGCAACGGTTTCAAAATCTAACGAAGGCTCTATACATTTATACATCAGTTTTTATTATAAAACACCACTGGTAGAAGAAGAGTCAAAGGTTAACAGTTATTGCATTCTACAAATGTTCTATAAACCTCACATTTGCAAAACTCCTCAACTAAGTCTTTCCATTAAGTACAGAATAAACCCACCATGCTTTCATGGAGAAAGCACCTTTGTGACAACTGTTGAGTGGGTCATTATTCATCAAGACATTAATGCTAATCTTAAAAAGACACATCCTACTTCCTGATGTCCTGGAAGAAATATAAGTGCTTTATTTCGCACACTAACTTTTGTGAACACAGAAATGTTTGGTGTAAAAAGGCTAGTCCACTGTTTTTCTTAATGAACATGGAGTAGTTGTACAGCCCTGGGCCATTCCTGTACTCAGCTGGAATGAGCATTGTGGGATTGTGGGGGTCCGAGGGTGACACAGTAATGCCTAATAACACTTAAAGTGTTTTATGTATGTAAAAGCCAACTGTGTCAATAAAAATGCTATTATGGGGGGGTCGCATTTAGCTCAAATACCCTCTAGAATAGAAGCAAACCCATACAATCGATAATAAACCCAGTGCAATCTTTATGGTGAAGTAAACATATTTCATTAAAGTTTTGTTTGTACACAATGTTATTATGTTATGAGTACATATCATCAATACATATTTTTATTGAAATAAGGCTCATGTGAGATAATGCCCTGCCTACACTTTCCGCCAAAAGAAACCAAGATTCAAGGCTTTATTGTCTTATGCACAGCAGCTACAGGAATATAGGACATAGAACAGATAAAACCAATACAAATAGTGCAAGAAATAACAGAATATAAATAAAATACTGCAAGAGAATGTTGTAAGATGTGCAAGTAAATAACAGAGTCTCTATACACGTAAATGAAATATGATATAGATAAATAAATAACAAGGTGCAAACAGATGAATGTTTATGGAGGCACTTGTGTTTTTTCTTTCTGAATTGTACATTTTAATTTAGGAAACAGTATTCAGTAATGTTATAAAACTTAAGCTGCTTCAAAATTGCATTATATATAATGAACTGAAATGAAGAGAAAACGAATGACCTACCCTGACCTGTGAGGCAGGAAAACAAAATCCATCAGCTCTCATTACCGGTGTGTGTTTTCATCTTGCAAACATACTGCACATCAGGAGTGGGCGTACTCCCCGTGACACCACTCAGTTTACAGTTTGGAAGCTTTTGCATGGATGAAGATTTTTCTAAACTTTGGCTCTTTTACGTCCACAACCAAACGTGCATTTAAAGAGCCTGTGACAGCCTCCCAACAACTGTTGTGCAATGAAATATTGGGCTACTAGTCATCTCGAACTGTCAGTTTAAAGGGTGACATGTGATCATTTTAACAGTTGCCTTCGCGCACCCCCTAACGATCACATGATAGGCTGGCCGGGGAAAGGCCATGCCGGGTAGCCCTAAGCAGGGGCTAGTTCAGGCGGTGACGTGGGCGGGACGGGTGTGCATTGACAGTTTGCCCCCCTCGGAAAGCGACGCCCCTTTGCCACCTGGGATCACAGGGCTAGCCTCACCCTTATTATGTATTATTAGGTAACGTAAAATAGGTAATTTAAGGGGTTGTAACAACCCATTTTTTTTTGTGTGCGGAAAATTCAGGTACAACCACATGATGTTGATGTTTTCGTAGCCAAACAAAAGAGTAGTCCTTTTACGTCTGGCCTAGTTTGTTTGTTAAAATTAGTAGTAGGAGTTGCTAGTACAATTACATGTTATACAAGCCGGCTATAACTGTACCTTTCGTGATTATTTACATCAAAGTAGTTGAACTCAAATGGTTGATGTTTTTATTAGCTAAACAAAAATATAGTGTAGGCTGCCCTTTAAGTCGTGCGAAGTGTGGAAAAATTAGGATTAAATTAGTAGTAGAAAGTGGTGCTAGTAAATACAAATACAACTTATATAACATCAGTTGAAGTAATTTTGCAATATTGCACGGGATTGAGTCATTAAGTGGTAAAAGATGCGTACTGTTGTGTGGAACAGTGGCACAATCGAGAGAGGGCGGCGTGTCACTTCGCAAAGGCGTAACTGCAGTGAAAGGCCGAAGGGGGTTTTGAAGTTTTAACTCAGGCTTCCTTAAAAGGGGCGCTGACAAGCTTTTATAACTAGAATAGCCATGCCATAGNGCCAACTCCACCAATCAGGAGGAGACAGCCACGGACATTGCCGTTCGAAAGCGCTGGAGACGCTGTAGTACATATGCCAGGCCTGTAGATGGTGCTGTTCTCACAGAATCAGCCCATGCAAAGACAGTGTTGAATTGAGCGAAATGAGGAATGGCTAAAATGCATGATGAGCGAAATGAGGAATGGCTAAAATGCATGATCTGTTTGGTATTTTGAAAAATAAAAAGTATATGCCTTATAGGTATGGTCCTACACTATATTATTCAAATATAACATGATAAGTCCACTTTAAAATGAATACATCTATTGATAATTCAGAACGACAAGTCTCTAACTCTATGAGACCCAACTCAGTAACACACATCATATAGCTTACCATGTGACTTTAATGAATATGCCAGAAATATGCTGAAATAAAGATTCTGCCATAACACCACAGTAAGGGGAGATGTATTAAGCTTCTGGTGGCATTAAAGAAACATTTAGAGGACAAACTAAGTCATCCACTGAGAACCATGAATATCTCGTTGCAATCATGGCAATACTATATTTGCAATCCTTTTAAGATATTTGAGTCTGGACCACATTTTAAGTGCCTTGGAGTTTTTTGATATTTCTTTGTATTCAAACTATTAGGTATTGATGAAGCAAAAAAGCTAAACATTTACTTTCCTTAAAAATGTTAAGAATACACTTTTGGATAATCAGTGTTTTCATTGATTACCTTTTGCATTTCTAGAGTTCATGAAGCGTTACACACAGTTTAACCTCAGTTGTTGAGGCTTTGTTATTGATCAATTACTTGATTAACAAATAATTTCTTCATGTGAAATGTCCTTTTACAAAATAGCCTCGTCACTCCTGAGAAAATGTAACACCTTCACTTCACACAGATGGGAGTTTTAGGGGCTCATTAAGCCGGTCTGGACGCATGTCTGTGCAAAAGACAGAACTTTAAAAAAGGTCATGTGATAAATCTTTGCGACATTATAAAGTCACAGTTTAGTGCTGACTGCAGTTGCTGAATAATGATGATTATTTTTAGCTTTTTCTGGTATGTTTATCTGAGTTTGGAGGTGAGTTTCTTAACATGCAGAGTGGAGGGCAGATGGTGATGTGAGCTGCAGACAGCAGACGTCCCCTTTAGCCGTCCTGTCGTCACGCTGAGCTTCCTGTCAGGACACTTCGCCCGCGGACACTCAGCGGTGACGGGGACGCGTCCTGCCATCCAGACACGGCCCACTGATCGCGGCCTGATAGCGCCCAGGTTGACCCTGACAGGAGCTACAGACTCCGCTTAGCATGCAACTTGTCCGTCCTTTTGCTGCTCAGCGTGCCGCGAAAATTCAGCGAGGGAACGCTCCCCAAGGTCGCACCGAGAGAGAG